TGGGGAATGGCTCCATGACAAACACATCTCAAGGAACCAGCAATGGGTACAGCAATTGTTGCTCCTCCAGCAGTTATTGCTCCTCCAAGGTAGCCCAGGTGAATGGTTTCAGCAAGGTGAGAGCTGCCAGTGCTTCTGTGAAGGGAGTTTTGTGCACCCTCAGAGCCAGGGCAGAGGGAGTTGGGTGGGCACAGAGCTGAGCCACCCCGTTAGGGTGGCACACAGTGGGTGCCAAGGAAGGGGTTTCTGCTGTCTCTCCTGTAGTTCAGCTGCTCAGTGAGGAAATAACCTCCCTGCTCTGCCAGGCCATCAATCCCACACCCAGCAGGATGTGATTTGCACTCACACAGATCCAAAAGGCTGCACATCACACCAGCCAAATGGAAAAATATCTCATCAGAGGATCACTGGGGAGGATCTTGTGGAGAGGAGAATTAATGCTGCTGCCGTGTGTCAGCCAAGGTTGGGAAATATACCAACTTTACTTTTATTTTATTTTATAATTTTAGCCATTTTTTCACAGAATCACAGAATGAACCAGGTTGGAAAAGACTTTCGATATCATCAAATCCAACTTCTGTTCGCTTTTGCCCCGGTGGAAGGGAATTAGAGTTTCTTTCCATGGGCATTGTGTCAACAGACTGAGAGTTGCACAGAAGATACTCAAAGGATTAACATCCATCAATGGCTATTAATGAACCATCAGTTCCAAACAACAGCCCCGGGGTGGTCTGAGACTCCTGGTCTGGGGAAGAAGAGATAAGAATGAGGACCAAATTAGCATCAGAAACCATCTGTAACCAACAGGAAACCAAACACTACGAACTACAGGACTTGCAACCAATGAACATCGAACCAATGAATTTCTGTAGGTTTTGCTGCATAAAATTGGTGAAAAATCCAGTAAAATCCGTGTGTCATGGACTGATTTTCTCAGCATACCCGGGCTGTGTGTAGATGAAATTATTTCTGTGATACATCCTCGCCAGAACAACATCTTGGCCAGAAATTAAGTAATGCCTTGAATCTTTAACACTAAAAATATTGTTGAAGGGTTTCACTTTTTCCCGCAGCTTTGGTGACAGAGGGACAAAGATGCTGAAAGAATTCTGCTCCCTCCCCAGAGAGGGAGTGAGCCTCAGTGCTCAGCAGCACCCGTCTGCTCCCTCACCAGGGAATCAGCAACAAAACCCATCCACACGAGCAATATGGATATTCTCACTTCTGTTCTCTTCTGCTCTGACTTCACACCTCTTTTTGCCCAGCCAGACTAAGGGGTTAAAGAGCAAGACCTGCTGGGTAGGGGAAATCCCCCCTCGTGCAGAGATCCCACAAGTCATCTCATAAATTGCCCGATTAAGGAGGATTTGAGTTGAACCCACAGTTCCCCTTGCTTGGGCCCACACAGCCCCATTCTTCAAGAATTTCCAGGTAAATTAAACAAGTAAGTCCTACTTTGCTGTCCTGTTGAGAATTTTTTCTTGCCCTGAAGTCCTCTCGAAGATGAAAACAAATACCTGGGCTGGCTTTTGTTGGATTTAGCAATCCTAGCACTGGAGTCTTCCCCCATTTGAACAGGAGATACCAAGAATTAATGACTTTCTACTGGTTTTGCATGAGAAGAAAGATGTCCCTGAAAGCTGATTGTACTTGAGGATCCATGATCCAGAACTTCACTAATAAATATGTTTATCAACTGCATATGGATATTCCTTTCCTGGGATCATTTTTATTCTTATTCAACTTATCAACTAGACCCATTATCTCATCTTCATGATTCAAACACTCTCCGGAACATGATGTGAAAGAGCCAATGTACTAAAGAACAGGGCCACTTAAAACTAGTTCACATGCCATGCCCTTAATTTACTATAATATGAAAAAAAATTACCTTACCTTCTGTTCTAAATGAGGTTCATGATCAGTTTGCAGCTCATCTCATTACATTTATATGCATGACATTACTACATTTGTAATAATGCTAAATGACACAGCTTCCAGCACGAAGAAGAAATTGCCTCCCACTCTCACACAGGAACCACTTCCTACTTGTCCATTAGAAGGCATTAAATTTTGGTACCAGCACATTCACAATCCCTAAATTATTTGTAGATTAAATAATTCTAAAAACATGTAATGAATCTGCTCTCATGCAATTTAGAAAACATAGTGGACTTCTAAGATTTCTTCATCATCAAAACATCCTTGTAGGTTGGCTAAGACATTCTCCCAAGCTGTTACTGAATTACTGATCACATTTATCCCTGCAAATGGATTTAACTCCTCACTGCAGAGTCCCACAGGCAGCAGTGGTTTTATTTAGCTTGGACTCTCAGCAAAACACAGACTGAACAACTCTGCATCCTGGATTTCTGGTTACAGAAATTGCACATTAGAGCACACTTCAGTTCTGTCACTGTTCCTACAGCACTGTCAAACCAAGAGAGATTTTCACATCAGAAAGTCAAATTATGGAAAGGGAATTGTTATCTAAGAGGTTTATAACAGACACCTTGATAAAGAGTACCCCCTATGTTACTACATTATACACATTCTGATAAAAACATGACAAACCTTTCTGACAAATTACAGAGAATGGACATTGTGGTCTTTGCCTCACAGGAATTCAAATGCATCTCCTGGTGACATTATACCTACTGCCTCTTCAATAGCTCTCAGCTCAGTTCCCAGCTTTCCTTTTACTGATGATAAACAGTGGCTGCAATAACACAAATAACACAAAACCAGAGCAGCACTCTCTGGCTGTTGGAAAATTGCAACTGGAAAATAAGAGTTTATCTATGTAGAGACAGGCTGAGAGCTAGAACAAGGGTTCAGACAGAGCACGAATGTAGTAGATAAAGTGTGTCAGTAATTTAGGTTTATTTTTAAATAACACATCCTTGAGCCATCTGCAATTTGGGTTCACATCTCCACACCCCACACTCCTGTTTTGAGACCTCAGAAACACACTGTTGAGATCTGTGCATTTTTTAGCATTTTGCAGCACCCCTTTTTTTTGATATATCTTATATTTAGTGTAGACACCAAAACATTTTGAGATGTATTTGTAAATATGTGTGTCAGTGAAGAAGCCTTTCCTTGAGCTGTTTCTGAAAGCTGTACTTCTCCCTTTTGTTTTAGTTACAATGAGCAGCACAGAGCTAATGTCTTTTTCTTATAAACAATCTTCACATTAAGGTGTCTCCAGCCTGGCTGTTCGCTCCTTTTTCACTGAGCATGTATCAATGGGTGTTTATCATATTGCTCCTTCCTGCTTCCAAACAAAACCTCCCACTGAGTTTTGGAGGCAGCAGACAGCCAGGCTGTGCATATACAACTGCCAGCCCTAATGCTTTCATGCCTCATTAAGTGACCTCCTGCTCTTTTCTGCACTTGCCCAGGATTTTTGGATGTCCAGCAGCAGCAACACATCTGTCACAGGAGAGCAGCTCCGTGGTCTCTGTCCCACAGTGGCTCTGATGGATCTGCCAGACAGACACAGTGTCCCTGTGCAGAGCCCAGAGCTGCCACTGACATCTCCTTTGCTGAGACCAGAATTAACTCCTGGGATTTTTATATTATTCAAAAAGAAAACGGACAAAGTTGTAGTGTGCTCTGCTCAGAGCATGGCCATGCCAATATCACCTGTCTTCTCTGGTGGTGTTGGTGTGTGAACAGTCACAGAAAACACATAGCAAACTGCTTTGGAGCAATAATAAACATTGAAATTGTGTTCTGAGAAACTACTCGTCTCCAAAGCATTCAGAGGGAGGCTGGATTTCTGAAGCAAGAACTACAGGCAGTGTAACGCCCTGGAACGGGCAGTGCTGTTGAGACAGAACAGATCGTTTCACTACAAGCAAAGCTCTCAGCTTCTCTTCCCCTGAGATGCTCCCTGAAACCCATCTGTTCTGTGGTGCCTTGCACTCGACAGCAGCCGCCCACCAGCACTGCCCCACGCCGTGCTGGCCTGTGCAGCTCCACTCCGGGCTCCTGAACAGAAAGTTCTTCCAGAGGGAACCCGTCCTATTCATCCAGAACAGCTCTCCATTGTCCCCAGGCCTGTGTGCTCACATGGATCATAAGGACTGAAAAACTGCGTGCCTGAAGAGGAAAGGCTTTGCAGTTGTGACAGAGCAGGATTTTATTGCTGGGATCAGCCTCGGGAAGCAGTTGCGTGGATATTCACCCTGCCATGAGCAGCTGTGTCTGCAGTGGCACAGAGCCATTTTAGGAAAATGCAGGGATGAAACCAAACCCTTATGATCACAGTTATGAGGGCACCCTCATAACTGTGCGAGCTTGCTGACAGCTCTGGAGTCATGCACTGGAGGAATGGGATGGCATCCAGAGGGACCTGGACAAGCTTCAGAGGTGGGACTGTGCGAACCTGGTGAAGTTCAGCAAGGCCACATGCAAGGGAACAGCTGGAGCTGTACCAGGCAAGTGTAGGCTGGGTTTAGGGAAAGGTTTAGGGAAAGGTTCTTCCCCAGAGAGTGCTGGCACTGCCCAGGCTGCCCAGGGCATGGGCACAGCCCGAGGCTGAGCGCTCCAGGAGCTCCCAGGGATGCCAAGGTGGGATTGTTGGGCTGTGAATTTCCCCTCTCCGCATTTGCAGCCATTCCCCCTCACCCTGTCGCTGGGAGCAATCCCTCTCGTTTGTTGAGGACTGCTGGGGTGCCCCGAGCAGAGCACAGAGCTGGGCTGGACCATCCTGGCGGGTCCAGTCCAACTCGGGATACTCTGTACCTCTGTGACTCTTTATAAGCGCCTGGAGTGACATGATGAGGGGAAACTATTCAAAATGAAAGAGGGAGGGACTAGGGAGGCTATTAGAGGGATATTAGGAGGAAATGCTTGGCGGGGAGGCTGTGGCAGAGGGTGCAGAGAGAATCCCCGAGGCGCCACCCGCGCCTCACGAACGCGACCGCTGCGGCTTTAAGGAGGCGGTCGGGGCGTGTGCCCGGCCCGTCATGCCGCTCGGGGGGCCGGGCCGCTGCCGTGTGCCGGCGGTGCCGCCATGTACCGCCTGTGCCGGCTGTCCCGGCTGTCCCCGGTGCCGCTGTGCCCATTGCCGCTGTCCCCGGTGCCGTCCCCCGAGCCGCCGTCCCCGCTCCGCGCCCAGGCCGCGCTCCCGCCGGGGCCGCGCCGCGCCCGCGCCAAGGTACGTGAGGGCAGCGGGGCCGCCCCGACCGCAGCCCCTCCGCTTCTTGCGCTGCCTTTCGGTTCTTTTTCCATCCCCCCTCTCCCATCCCCCGTGGGAGCAATCAGTCGTGTTTATGGCGGGGTTCCGTGGGAGCCCTTTGCACCTGCTGGTGGGGACATCGGCGGTGTGAGCTTTCTGCGGTTTAATGCCCACAGCGTCATTCGCAGCGTGGTTTCTGCTGCCGCGGTGCGAATGTGCCTCGTTTGAGATGTGTTTTCGTGCTTTAAAGCCCGTGAGTTATGCGAATAAATTCGGCTTTTTAGCTGAAATGTTGTGGCAGAGTGACATGGAAATAGGCAGCAGCTTTACTTGCTAAGCTGGACATTATTCCGTACATGACTGCCCTGTTTTAGTGGTTCTTTTTTAACATTTTGCTTCGATACAATTCCTGGTGTGTGAGCCTGTGAATACAAGGGAATTGGAATGGACTTGGAAGATCAGAACAAGCAGTTTTTCAGTCCTTATGATCCATCCCTAAGACCCAGAGATCATGAGCCACAAAACAAAAATCTAAAGTTTTAAACCTATAAGAATCAGGATGAGCTGCGCTACACAATTTCCTGTTTCTGTATTTGACTTCCTGTCAAAATGAAATACAAAGCAACAGAAATAATTACAAAAGAGAAAAACAGCCAATAAATGTGGTGTTTTGGGGGGTGGTGTGCCTACCTTGGGGATTGTAGGACTGTCTTGTATGCTAATTTACAATCTTAGCAAGTCCATTAGTCAAGAATATTTTTCTACTAATTTGTATGCCTTGAAACCAGAGTGGGACGGTGGTGGCAGGCACTTGGTGGCTCTACCTGTCCTGTGGTGGCTGTCACATTGTCACAACTGCTGCTGAGCTCAGCTGGAAGGAGAGGACGCCTCTAATCTTTCCTTGCAATTGCTGACTAATTAGAGACAAATCCTGAGGTTTTTGTGGAAATGTTTTCTTCCTGTCAGTATTTCTTCTCTGGCAAGCATGGGGAGTTTCCAAGGGCTGCCAACGCAGCTGCCCTCCTTTGATTTCTTTTCAGATTGCTTTGGGATATGGTTTGGTATGAACTTCTTCACTTGAAATGTACCCAAATAAAAATATATCTATGACTTCTGCTGTGACAAAGATTTTCACTGCAGTTGGGCTCTTGACACCAGCCCTGGCATGTCCCTGCAGTTGTTGTCTACACCGGAGCAACAGAGTTGCTTGTTGCTGTCAGCACTTGAAATTCTTCCTTGATCAGCTCATCCATTTAGGGTGATTGATAGGAGCTTAAACTTTGGATTTCTTCCATCAGGGAGCTGTTGTTAAGTGGTACCAGGGACTTCCAGTGCCATGGCTGCTTAGCCCTGGAATAAAAAGCCCTGCTCCGAGGAGTGACTGGGTAAAGCTGAGCAGGGGGTGGAAGGAAATAGCTCCCACACCTCAGTCTCATGGCTCCAGCAGCTGTGTGGGTGTGCCTTGGCACACATTTGGATCAAATAACCTGGTTTTATTTATGAAACCTGAATTGTGTAAGAATTTACACCAAGATCGGTGCATTCCTTTGACAGGAATAGCTGGGAGAAGGGAGCTTGACTGGGCTCTGCCACAGCATCTGCTGTGCTGATGTAGAGAAGCAGAAGTGAGTTTCTGTCTTCCTAAATCACTCTGTGTGCAAGACACTTCTTTCATAATTTCAGCTAACTGAAATATGATCTTGTGCTTAATGCTAACAAATACTTTTAATTGTTTTCTTTTTAGGATGCAGCTGAACCCCTCAAAAAGGCAGCCACTGATCCCAGTGCTGAAAACATTAAACTCAACAAATCCCAGCAGCTGAAACAAGTTTTTAAAGAATATGGTGCTGTAGGGGTTTCCTTCCATGTTGGAATTTCCTTAGTATCTCTGGGAATCTTCTACCTGGCTGTGTCAAGGTGAGGTTTGTACAGCTGTCTGTCACCTGTAGGTAGTAGTAAAAGTAAAATACATTTACCATTGTGTTTATCTCTGAAAGGAGACAGGCACTTTATGCCTATTGAACCTATAGCTACCTCCTGAATTTCGAGTATGGATGGGTCCATAAATGGACCTGATCTCCCATCAGGCATGACACAGGAGAGTTGTACATGGTCATTTTGCAGAGGCTCATCAGCAGGGAAAACAGCACACACAGCACCAACATAACTGACCAGGCAGAAAATGTATTTGTTTTGCAGATATCTTTTGTTCTTGCTTGGTCTGGAGAGATAGAGTCATGCAGAAGTGCTCTGGGGCTTAGAGATAAAGGCATTTTTCTGGGTGTCGAACACAGTTTGTGCAGTTGAACTGCAGAAAATAACAGCCACTAGAACAGGATTAGAGTGAAAATGTGAGAGAACTGTACAGGAGTCAGGTGGGGAATTGTGTGTGTGGCTTTGTGGGAATGCATCAATTACATGAGGTATTCCAGCTGAGGACACAGGGAAACGTGTTACTCCAAACATTCCCTACTGCTTATTCCTGACTCCAGTGGGAATATGTGAAAGCCTGATTTCTTCTGTTTACTACATTGTGGCACAGGGTGACAACATTTTTTTTCCTTCAGGTGTGGTTGAATCCCTGCTGTCTGTATTAATGAATTTGGTGGATAATGCCCATTTGATATTCTCAATACTTCCTTCACTTGCTGGATTTTAGATAGTTTGTCATTTTGTACGCCTGTATCAGAGCACTAAGCCTAGCAGCAGGTACCTCATTTGGTCTCCATTGGTTTGTGCTTAGGTGACAAATTTCCCCAAGACACAGAACAGAGTTTAATGTCAAATTTGGGAAGCTGAAACTCCAACACAAATTCACAGTAACTCTTTAAGAATCACTTTACAGAGAAACTTCATCTCTAAAGTCTGAGTAGGAACCGTGACACTTTGTGAACAAAATCCATATTTTGCGCTTTATACTTTGAACCTAAAGCAGCGTCTCCTCTTTGCGCAGCGGCGTGGACATGAGCGCGGTCCTGCCGAAGCTGGGTTTCAGCGAGGCCTCTCTGCAGTCCAGGATGGCAGCTGGCACCAGCACCTTCGTGCTGGCCTATGCTGTGCACAAGCTCTTCGCCCCCGTGCGCATCAGCATCACCGTGGTGTCCGTGCCCTTCGTGGTGCGCTACTGCCGCAAGGCCGGCTTCTTCAAACCGCCCGCGCCCGGCCCCTGAGCCCTGCCCGCCTCGCTGCCACGCAGCTCCTCAGGTGAAAAGCTGCTCTCAAAGACTTGGCTGGGTTCAGGTCGATCTCATCCCACGTTTCTTACTTGTTCTTTCAGGTCAATGGCGCTGTGAAAAGTGCTGTCCTTGTCTCCTTTCACTTTTGCCACTTGTTGTAGGAGAAACCTGTTCAAATGGGATCTGGTTAGCGCTTCGAGTGGGAATATAAATGCTTGACAATGAGCACAGTTCTGGGTCTTTATAAGCCAGCTTTTGAGCCTTTTTTTTTTTCTATTCAAAACAGAGTCATAGCTTTCATTTATTACTGTGGAGCTGAGAAACTGAGAGATTCTCTTTCCAGCAGAATAAACAATATCTCACTACACGGACAGTTCTCTTGATAAGAGTATGTATTGGAATCTCAAGTGGCAGGTGGGTGTTTCTGTTGTTAGAAGAGGCTTTTATTATAGCCTTTCTTACAGTACAACACAAGCACTGAACTCACTTCAGTAGAAGTACCCCAGGATGAATTATTGCTGTTATAATTGGTTTAGTCACACTAGGTGAAGCACTGTTCTGAAACTATGTGTATTGCTAACATAGTCCAAGATTCTGTTGTTTGATAATGTGCTGGCTGGGAGCCAGCCTTACTAAAGTCCTTTTGTTTTTAAATGTCTATAGACTCAGAAGAAATCCTGAGCCTTCTGAAATCAGTGAAACCAGAATTACCTATGTGAACATACTCCAAACAGCATCAAGGCAGAGAGAAGCTGGGGGATTTTAATATTTTGAGATTTGGCTTTGTGCTGGAAACATGGTTTTTCGTATCTTAAAACTAACCCCCAGCACCTTTCTGCTCTTGTGGGTGAAACTCAAATCTTCCAAGTTTTTGCACCTGAAGTGGAAACATTCCAATATTCCCAGCTTCCCAGGAAGAATTCCTGTGCTTTAGGCTGAGACTGCTGAATATAGCAATGAGGGGGTTTTGCCTTTGCTTATAGGGAGTGTGATGTTAAAATGTAGTTACAGATGTGGATATCCACATTCCACCAAACCTGAAGATTAATCCTAAAACAGATAAATGGGTGTCACACTGGGGTTAGCCTGGGTTTTGGGCTCAGGCCTGAATGAGAGCTGGGGCTGTTTAGGATTGCTGGCTGCTCTTTTCTGAATTCTCTTTGTGCTTGCACTTACCCCAAGGTGGCTCTGACAGATCTGATTATACAGATCTCTGCTTTAAGTAACATAGTAGGAAAATACCCTGAAATAGCTTTTTACTTTTGCTAAAATTTAGTGAATGGAGAGGAGGAAACGGTGGAGTTTTGATGAGAGTTGGCTGAGGGAGGAAAGGAGGAGCAAATAACTTATGAGCAGCCTCTTGCCTCCCTTCAGCCAGAACATTAAATTGCACCTTAATTCCTTTCCCCCACAGGAAGTCCCAAGTTTCACATGGACCAAGGATAAGAATTCTAAAATTACTCTGAGGCAGTCTTGTTTACTTTAGTTAGAATAATTTCTGAGAAAAATGTTTTGTCTTAAATATGGTAAAGAAGGAATAGTCAAAATTTCTTTTTCAAAATCATGAAATCATTCAAATTCAGTAGAAGGCACCAGCACTAGTTTTATTGCTGTAAAGAAACAGCTTCATAGAAGGTGTAGCCAGAATTCTGATTACTTATGTGGTTGTATAAACTACTAGCAATTTGTTTAGATGAAGATTTTTGCAAAGTGTATTTTAAATTGAGAATATATTTTGAATTCTTGAATCCTTGCTTGTAGAAGGTTCATTTTTAAAAACTGTTTGTAAAATAGCAAAGTCTTATTCTGAAAAGACAATAAATTGCTTTCTCTTAGCTTGCTTTAAGTGTTTTCCTGGAAAAGGGTTGGCCTTGATTTTGGTGGCAAGGGGCCTGACCCTTGGACCATTTTAAGGAATGTCTTGTAAACATCTGAAAGTAATTGAGAAAAAGGGCTGGAAGATATTATCAGATGGGAGATCTCTGAATAAATTGATCGTAAAAAGAGCAGGCCAAACTGTTAATAAACCAAGCATCTTAAATACACATTTGGTACTTACCTTGTAATCCTAAACTGAGCTTATGGGACAGTGAATGACTGTGTGGTACCAGCACTTGGAGCTGCCTTTTTGACAGAGGTGGGCATTACACTTTGGGAATTCCCCTCTGGGACTGGAATCCAGCTGTGCTGGTGCTGAGCCAAGCAGTGCCACAAGGAACCTCACCCTGCTGGGTGCAGTGTAACAATTCTTTATTTTACAAATTGAGTGCTCACATTTAAAACTAGAGACAAAACCAACTGCCACATCATTTTTAGAACATTTGAAAAAGGCATTCATTCCCCTCGCTCAGTTTCAGGTTACACCACAGGTAAGGCACCCTGAGCAGCCCAGGGAGGGAGGAGCAGGCATCTCCAGGATATTGCACTGTTCCATAAACCAGAACAACTTCCTTGTGGTGGAACAACAAACCATTTACGGCACAAGAGGCTCCAACAGCTTCATACTTGCACCAGCAAACTTGGCCCACATGGAACTGATTTCAAGTACATTAAATATTCCACAAACTGCAGCTAGAAGTCAAATAATTTTATGCTGCAATTCAAGTTTAAGACACCAGCCAACCCAAGGATTTGCATCCCAATTGCCACTAGATTCCAAGACCTGCTTTTCCTTTTGTAAGCATTACAGTAGTCACAGTACAAGGCTCCTCTTGTCCATCCCACAAGTCACCCTCCTAAAACTATGTTTTGGATGGGGCAGCAGCATCACTCTTCCTGCTGGTGGGAATCTTGGTAGAGTTTGCTGTGATCCAGGGATGGAGAAGCACATCCTTCAGGGGCAGGCGATGGAAGGGGTTGTGCTTCAGGAGCCTGGAAATTAAATCCCTTGCACCTTCTGTTACAAATGGAGGAAACTTGAATTCCACCTAAGGAAAAAAAGACATTTAAAATTACGCAAAAGTTCTTTAGCAATAACCAAGTGATAGAAGCACTCAACCTCCAAGTTACCTTCTGAAAGCTGTGCCAGCCTTGCAGGCTCTGCACCTTCTGCCTATGGAGGTAAAATAATTTAATTGTAACCCTGAACAGGCTTCTCGTTGCTTGTGAAAGTATTTGTATATTCTTGTTTTTGTTTTCATTACGTTTCAAACTTAAGTTTGCTGAAACCTTTCTAGAACTAAAAGCACGACCCAGCTAATCCAGATAAGCACTGGCACTTACCCTGGAAATAGCTCTGTAGGTTTCTTGATAGGTTTCTGTTTCAAAAGGTGGTTTTCCTACAAGGAACTCAAAGCACAGAACTCCCAGACTCCAAATATCCACCTTTTCATCATGTGTTCTTCCCTCAATCATTTCAGGAGGCAGGTAGTCAAGTGTCCCACAGAGAGTTGTTCTCCTGAAGAAAAGTCCAAGTTAATCATTGATTAAGATAATTAGAGGATCTATTTCAAGAGTCAGATAAGAACTAATGCTGGCAATCATCTGTACCTCAGTGCAGTCCACCTGAATGGACTCGGCACCATCAGAACAGCTGGGAAAGAAAAGCCAGCAGGACATTTTCTACTTCTACTGAAAGTATTTCATTCCCTGCAATCAGTCAGTCTTAGCTCCTTTCTTCACCCCACATGCTAGAACAAACCTGTTCCTCCCTTCTCAGGTGCCATTTCCCACTCTCTCAGAAATAACCAAATTGCCAGTGTAATGTCCGAGTCCAAGTGCAGGTTTGTCATCTCAGGGAGCACAGTAACCCTACACCAGCCTTCCTCTGAGGGCCAGCAAGGTTTGAACTAAAAACCAGGCTAACAACCCTCCTCTGTCACACCAGTTGCCTGTTAGGCCCTTTGTTATAGCAGCATTTTTCCCCAGTATTTCAGGAAGTTCCCACGTACCTCCCTTCCACAACTGTGTGATAAAAACTGACACTACAGAAGGATTCCAGTGCACAAGAGATTGAATTCTCACCTAGAAGATGGAGCATGCACAGACCACCCAAAGTCAGCAATTTTTAACTCTCCATTGGATCCTAGCAGCAAATTCTCTGGCTTGATGTCTCTGTGGATCACACGCTTGGAGTGACAGTACGAGAGGGCATCTGCAAGTTCTGTGATGTACTGGGTGCAGAAAGAATAATCTTTAAGATATTGTCACCTGAGTTTATCTGGCTGCAGCACAGCCTTTTGGAGCCATAATTATAATTTTAAATTAAAGCAATTATTCCTTTACACTCGAAGCCTGGCAATACAGGCTGTGACTTGCAATATTAAGCAATTCTGAACATAAATTCCTGCACAGCCCTAACCCTTCCCAATTATTCCCTGCCCAGATGCCAACTAGCAGCTAAGGAATCTCAGTGTCCCCCAGCAGAATACAGAACTTGATCTGAAGGGCTGGCTCTGTCCTGCAGATATCCCAGATACAGGAATGGAGAGGAAGCTGGAACAACCTACAGTAGCAGTTCTTTGCTCATCAAACTTGCTGAGCCTCTGAAGCTCCCTGTAGACCTCCCCACGAGGTGCGTGCTCCAGGATCAGGTAGACTCTTGTCACATCATGGAAGTAGCCATATAATCTGAGAATGTTGGGGTGCCTGCAAAGAGATTTCAATGTTCTTCTGAACCAGGTGTTTGCCAAAACCTTGAATTTCCCAATTTCCAACCTTTGTCCTGCTCCCTTCCCGCTTTCAAGGCGAGCACAGGAATTTCAGCTCATCCGTGTTCCTTCAGCTCACAACACACAAACCCCTTATCATAAAGGAGCCTCATCATAACTAAGGTCACCTTGTTTATTTGGATGCAAACAAAGCAGAGTAAATAGTCACTGAACTTTACCTAAGATGAGACTGTATTTCCACTTCTCTTCGTAGTTGATGTTCTACACCAGCTTCCTCAAGCTGTGTTTTAAAGAGCACTTTCAGGGCGAGAATAAATTTGCTCTGTTTTTCACGTGCCAGGTACACATTCCCAAATTTTCCTTTCCCCAGAGGACGACCAATTTCAAAATCATCGAGGGACCATTGCCTTCTGCAAGAGGAAAGTTAAAAGCTGGATAGTTGTGTTGGATTTGACTCAAATTTACAGTTCATAACATTCCTGTTCAAGAGATGCTTAGTGCTCTAAACTAGATTTTAGTCTTTAAGAAAATACCTAGAGAATAAAAGCATTGAGATTTTTCAAAAGGAAGTTGTGAAAATTGAAAACTATTTTCTTTCCTCCTGAAGCTTCTGCAGACACTACACCAACCACACTACTACAAAATGAAGTCTGTTTACCAAGCTGGGCTCCTTCAGATACTCCTAACCCAGACACATCACCAGGGCATGGCAAAACAATTTAAAGTTGCCATAAACAAATCCAGTTTCATATCAAAATAGACTCCAGCCTCCTGCCCAGATGAAGGAGGCTTTGTTTTCAGGAGTACATCTAGTGACTGAGGCAGCAGCTATCAGTGCTCTCCCATGGGAAGAGCCACTCTGCAATTAGCCCAAGTTTTCTTTAGATTCCAACAAGTCCTTGTTCCTGACAATTATCAGGTCAAAGGCTGCTTTTCCTTGTGAGGTGTCTGCAAAGCAAGGGGGTCACCAGGCTCCACAGCCAAAGGAGCTCCAGCAGGGCTCAGTTATCCAGAATTCAGGCATAAACTTACTTTTTAGTCTCTTCACTTTTCTTCTTGGTCTCTTCAGTTTTCTGTTTAGAGGTGCTTTCTGCTTCAGGGTTTTGTGCTGTGTACAGAGAAGGAAATCAGTTAATGAACCAGACTCATGGGCACACACACAGGAACAAATCTAACCCCTGTGCATCATCTGAAGCAGTTTTTAGAACCCATTCAGTGACATTTTAATTAAACTAGCATGGCTGACTGCTAGGGAAGAAACAGTGCTGGCAAAATGCAATTTTAAAAGCTTATGGAGCATAAAACTCCATGAATTCTTTCCCCCTCCCCAAACAAAAGTATCCCTGGACACTTGGAAAACCTGTGAAGTCTGAATGCAAATGACATTAACTCCGAGCTGTCTGCTGAGCACCTACAAGTTTTTAACACCATAATGTCCCTAATTTATCTAATTTATCTCTGTTAATTTAGAGGTAAATTCATAAGGATGGTGCAGTAACACCCGAGGTGAACCACGTACTGCTCTTCTGTTTGGGGGCACAACCAAGAACGTCCCTGCAGGACTGTCCCTGGATCAGCAGCAGCTTTAGGAGCATCCCGAGTGTCACAGCTGCAATCACACAAAATCATCCTCAGAATTACCAAGTGCTGCAGCCTGGGGAGGTTTCTCACTGCCCTTGCTTGCAGCCTGAGGTCTCACAGCAGCCTGCTGGGGCACTTTGGGTTGGAGCTGCTGAGCTGGTTGGTTGCTGGGTTGTTTTTGGGTGGACAGAACAGGTTTTTGGGGTTGCGCCGGGACTCGCTGGGCAAAGTTTGCGGGACACAGAACTCGGGCTGGAGCTCCAGTGGTCAGTGAGCGGCTCGGGGCTGAGTGCTGCGACACGGGGACACGTCTGGGGGCATCCCCGATGGGATTGGAGACCTTCAAAGAGAAAGGAGAAGGCGTTAATTGTGCAACAGCACAGCACAACCCTCACGGCCCCATTCAGGATGGCACGGCCACACAAAAGCACTTTAACAGAATCACGTATTTAGTTGATTAAAAGAAAATTTTGCTTATGCTGTTCCAAAAACTTATCAGGTCTATTTGGCTTTATATAAAATACTGACAAAGTGCCTGTATTTCTAAATAGAAGAAACACAATAATAAGGGTGATCTTGAGCACTGCTGCACATGTACACAGCACTTGCTTTTAAAAACTGTATCTAAAATAATTTGATAATACACACTCACTTTCTCTTTAAGAGCTCTTAAATACTTGCAACAGAAGGAAGATTTCCCCATTTAATAAGATAGGCTAATATTAATAATAATTTTAAAAAACAGCTTGGGGCTCTGTTTTCTCTAGGAGAAAGGCACTGAAAGACAGATTTCTAGTTAATATGCGATGGGGAGAAACAAACCCACCAAGCAAAAACTAAAAACCACCACTCCAGAACCTAGCAGAACTTTAATGGCAAACTCCCAGGCATCGAGTCCAAGGATGCAGCAGAAGAAATTGCTCAGGAAGAGGAACATAAGGGTGTGAAATACGCGGTCTACCTTGGCGGCGCGGCCGGGGCAGGCAGCGTGGTTCTCCTTCATGTTCCTGTCCATAGCGCCAGAGCGGGAGCGGCCCGAGCGGCTCTGGCTGAGGGCGAGAGGGAGCCAGCGGGGCTCAGCGAGCGGAGCACAGGAAATAGCGGGTCCCTTATCGATCCCCACTGTTTATCGGCAGAGATCCATCACCAATCCCCCCCGCCCGCCCTCAGGCCCGGCGCTCAGCGCGGAGCCGCCGCCTCAGGGCCGCCGGAGCTGTTTGAATTCAAACCGCCGCGCCTTAAATACCCCTTTAAACCCCCGCCGCCCGCCATTGGCCGCCCTCCCGCGGCCCGCGCACGCTGATTGGCTCCTCCCGCGGGCGGCCCGCTCGCCTATTGGTTACCAGGCGCGCTCCGCCGGGCCGCGAGGGGCGCACGCGCCTCGCCGCGCCGCGCCCCTCCACCGGCGTTGTCGCCGTGCGGCGCGTTACGCACTTTGCGTAGCGCCGCGCCGCCCCCCCCACCCCGGCGCGCGCCGCCCGCGCACTTCCCGCCGGGCCGAGCCGCCGCTTCCGCTACGCAAATCGCGTAACGCGCCGCGCTCCCACCTGTGGCCGCCGCCGCCTCCGCTCCGCTCCGCGCCCCGGGAGCGCCGCCAGGTCAGTCCCGCTCCCGCCGGACTCCCCCCCAACACACCCCCGCCCACCCCCGGGCGAGGCCGGGCAGCGGCGCCGCTGCCAGCGCGCGTGGGGCCGAGCGCCAGCGGGGCCATTGTGTGCGTGCCCCCCCCGGACGGGCCGAGCAGGGCCGGAGCCTCCCCGGTGCGGCCCCGGGCAGCGCCACGTGCCGGCAGCGCTTCAGGGCGAGCGCCGAGCGCCAAGGCCCCGCCCGGCCCGGCCCGAGCGACCGCGCACCCCTCGCAGGCGCCGGGACAGCGGCAGCGCGGCCGCTCAGCGAGCGCGGCCCGCGAGCAGCGCAGCGAGCGCGGCGTCAGGCGCTGCTGCCCCGCGGGTCCCCGCCAGGGAAACTCCGCTCGGCGCTCGGAGCTGGTGAAGAACTGCGAGGCAAGGCACTGAAAAGTTCACTGTCTCCGCGGTGCTGAAAACAAGAGCGAAGGAGAGCCTGGTTGTGTGTGTCGGTGTTTACAAGTGGTTCAGGATAGGTAAAAAGAAGATGTCGGGTCGCCGTGTCGCTGCAGCGTGTGACAGACGACAGCTGCCCCGGGGCATGGGGGGCATGGCAGCCCCGCTGCTCGACCCGCGCCCGCTCCGCCTGCCCTTCCTCGAGGCTGACGTGAGTAGCGCTCGGGGCGGGGACGGTTTGCGCCGGGGCCGGGGCCGGGCCCGCCCGCAGCGCTGCTGGGCAGCCGCGCCAGCCGCTTCATTCCCAGCCCGTTCACGTCGCCGTGTTTGGGATCCGGGCGCTGGCGGAAGCGGCGCTCCGGAGCTTTGCGGCTGCGACACAAAAGAAGCCCCGGGCTCCCCCCCGCGCCCGCCGGGGGCCAGGCCCGCGCCGCTCCCCCGCCCCGAGAGCGGCTCCGCGGCCTTCCCAGCGCCCCGCTGGCCCCGAAGGGGAACGGGGGGATGGACCCTCGGCGTCCCCGGGAGGGAGGGATGGGGAGGGGGAATGGGCAGCGGGACCCCCGGGATCCCTGAAAGGGAGAATGGGCAGCGGGACCCCCGGAAGGGGCGGGGTGGAGAGAAGGGACCCCTGGAAGGGGAGAAATGGGGAGGGGGGTCCCCCAGGACCCCCGGGAGGGGGAACGGGGAGAAGGACCCCGGGATTCCCCGGGGGGGAGTGGGGATTTGGGATCGGGACCCCGGAGCGGGATCGGGGATGGGGACCCCGAAGCGCGATATGGAAGCGGGATCGGGACCCCCGAAGCGGGATCGGGGCTCCGGGGACCCCCGAAGCGGGATCGGGGCTCCCAAGCAGGATCGGGGACCGGGAACCCCGGAGCGGGATCGGGACCCCCGAAGCGACATCGGGGGTTGCGACCCCCGTAGCGGGACCGGGACCCCCGAAGCGGGATCGGGGCTCCCAAGCAGGATCGGGGACCGGGACCCTCGGAGCGGGATCGAGGATGGGAACCCCAAAGCGGGATCGGGACCCCCGAAGCGACATCGGGGATCGGGACCCCCGTAGCAGGATCGGGACTCCCGGAGCGGGATCGGGGGTGGGAAGCCCAAAGCGGGACCGGGACCCCCAGAACGGTACCGGGGGTCTGTCCCCCCTACCCGGGGGTCCCTCCCCGTGACGCGGGGGGCGTGGCGCTGCCGTGACGCCGCCCCGTTGTGTCGTGTCCCCCCCCCAAGAGCCGCCTCCCATCGATGTGCGGGCGCTCGATGCAGCAGCCTTCGCGGAGGAGCGTCCTGCGGGCCCGGCCGCCCCCGCCGCTGCCGCCGCCGCCGCTCGATGCGCTCCGCGCGCCCGCCGCCATCTTAGGGGCAGAGCGCGGGCGGCAGAAGGAAGGCTCGGTACGTACCGGCACCGCCCGCACCGCGGCTCGGCCCGCCCCGCGCGGGCCCGGGCCGCCGGCGGGGCGGGGAGGGCGCGGGGCTCCCCGCGGGGCGGGCGGCGGGGCTGTCGTGCGCGCCCCGCGCACCCATCCACCCACCCATCCATCCATCCATCCCCGGGCCCGCCGGCAGCACCGGCCGGCGCGCTCGGCTCCTGCCGCCGGCTCCGCTGCCGCGTAGCGAGTGCGGGCCGCTCTGCGGCCGAGGTTTGCAGTCACACAGAAAGGCAGCGCAACAGGTTTTCCCTCCCCTTTTCCTTCCCTTTCCCCCTTTTTCCTCCCTGTTACCTCCCCCTTTTCCTCCCGTTTGCCTCCCCTTTCTCCCCTGGCTTCCTTCCTTTCCTCAAGTCTTTTCCTTCCCTTTCCCTCCCC